AAGGACGCTGAAATGCAAGTCTTGTGATCCTGGTCTGGTGAAATCTGGTTTGTTACCTTGCTACTAATTTTTCTGCCAGTAGAAGTCCAAACAAAATCAGGTATCAGAATAGATGGTGATGATATCTACTTAGAAGTCATTCTAACGCACTGTGAAAATATTTACAAGCTTCTAAGATGAGACTTCTCCTGATTAGGGAAATCAAAGAATAGTTTTCCCAGCAGGCCTGCAGATAGCTCATCCAAATTGCTTCTGTTTTAATTGGCATGCATTTCCTTGATAGAAGATGAAAAACAGCTGACTTGGGCTCTACAGGAATGGAAGCCTGTTCCCCAAGACACAGCCACTCTGGAAAAAAAACACCAAACCCAACCAACAAATAATTAGAGCTTGTAATGCATTTGTACAACAAGAATCCATGACATCTTTGGCAAACAAAATCCCAAACCAAGGTGAAGATTTATATTCTGACTCTTTAACGAGAAGAATAAGGATAGTATTTTACTCAGGTTTTCTAGTATATGAAGTCTTTTGCTACCTGAGGTGAATCTAGGTGGGCTATTTTGTCTCTGTTCACAGCATACTGTTGTTTTCAAACTGCACTTCAGGAAATTTTTTTAACCCAAATTTCTTGTTTCTAAAGCTTGTTTCAGAAGCATTGGTAAGAATAAATAAAAAGAAATAACCTTCATTAAAAACTACTGCTTTTGTCTGGAAGAACAGTGTAACATTGCATGTGAAATTAGTTTTTCAGTTACTGGAGATTTTTATTTCTCTTTTGCTGAACATGTCTGTGGAGGACTGGTTTCCCTATAAATTGTTGTCATAGGGAATGGTGAGACCAAATACGCATAACTGAGGATGAAGTGATTGTGTGCTAGAATGGTGTCAAAAGCGGAGCTCTCAGGATTTGGGGATGGGGGCTCTTTGTGGCCTGGGAGGCGTTTGGTTATAAATTAGAACCATTGAAGCACACCATAGATGATGGTTTTTGGATTGAAAGAGATTGAGCAGACCTCGGGTTAAAGAGGTTGAGAAATTTTGGCCTGGAGGCCCTGAGGGGACCCAGGACTCCTCTGAAAAGAAAGGGAGAAGTCCTTGAGCTCCCTGGCTATTTCCCACACCCAGCGCAATGCACCTTCTGCTGCTGAAACTTGTTGTCTGCTCAGCCTCGTTCCCTTTGACTGCTGGAGATGTTATTCCTCAGATAGCTTAGACTGCAGCGGTGGGATTAGTTTCAAGTGCCATTGGATATCTTTTTGTGAACTACTTACGCAGACGTGCCCTATAACCAGTGGAAGCAGGCACCCCTAGCATGAAACTCAGTTCACCTAATTTAAACGTCCATGTTAGAAAGAGATCAGTCTTGGTTTAGAAATGCCTGTTCCTCTTCAGAGAGTGTCTGGATCTGCAACTCCTATGAGGCAAAAGAACAGCTGTATGGTAGATCAACGTAGATCGGAGTCGAATTGGTGAGGGTTTTTCCGTGATATTGCTCCTGAATAATGTCAGTCGTTCATTTTGATTGGAAATATACAGGTATCACCTGCTTTTTTAAAATCAGGGTTTCTTGGTAGTTCACCTATACTACATCCACATCTTGAAGATATCAGTGTTTTGAGCGTGTTTTGTAAAATAATCCCTTCCCTAACCTCCTCCCCCCAAAAAACAGCAAATAAAAAAACCCCACTCAAACCTAGTGCATTACTTGGATTTCTTGTAGAGGAGGCTTTAAATTTCACCCACTTCTAGTAATTTGACCTATTTTGGAGATGCAAAGCCTGTAGCCCCGCTGATGGGGGAATATTGCCATATGTGAGTCTCAAGCTTTCTATTCCTTGGCTTTTGTTAAAGGAATATTAACCACTCGGGAAGGGTGAGGTGGTCATGTGTTAGTCATGCTAACCTGGTATGCACTCTGGCAAGGTTCCTGGACTTTTCATAAAAGAGATTCGAGGATCGAATGAAGCCTGCATATCTTGTTCCGCGGGATTAGAGAGATGCATTATCAGTGAATAATGTTAGTCATGCTTTCTTCTTTCTATACTTTACCATCTGCCTTTCAAAAACATGAGATGGTTTTTCCCTGGTGTCGTAACATTAGGTGAATCGTGAAGAGCACAAACTCGAAGTGGTTTGTTTTTAAAGCACTGAAGGAGGTGTAAACGTCATATTAGTTGTTTATTGATTAATATTTAATTGAAGGTGAAATAAAAAAATGAAGCAGGCAAATGACTCAAACATGCTAAAAAGCAACATCACTGTCTTGCCGTGGCTGACAAATGACAATGAATTTCCAAGAACAGAAGCAAATATATTAATGTATAGTGATGGCACAGTGAGTCAACAGAGATGCTTTGATTGAGAGTGGTGGACACATCCCACAGAAAAATCATGCAAAAACCATCTTTGACACTGAGTTTAGTACCCTTTGCATCACTAATGAAATTAGTAGGTGGTTATCCTCAGAAAACACTAATAATTGTCTTTTAACTGTGGTGTTATGGAGCAGTTTAATAACAATTTTATTTGATTAGAGGAATGTTTAAAGAGCCCACAGGACCAGCAAAGCCCTATAAATTCTCTTAGGTGAATGGCGTATTTTTTTGTTTGTTTTTTTTTAACCTCATGGCTGTTGTAGACACCCAGTGTTCAAGATCTTGAAGTGTACTTATCTTAGGAATAGATTCTTTCTTGCCCACTGGAAGTAAATAGCAGTCTGTCATTTTAACTATTCATTATTATTATTGATGCCTCATTTTTTCACACCATTCTTCTGGGTATTCTTTTTCATGATCAACTCTGAGTCTGCTTTTTGATGTGGCTGTCAGCAGCAACTTCTCATAGATGAAACCAGGAAGAGTCTGAAATGCTGATTTTAGGAAAGGGGGGACATATCCTCAGTGGAGGTTGTGGTGATTCAGTGCCTCTTGGGATGAATTCTGTTTTACTGGACATCTGTGACATTTGTCCTGCAATTCTTTCAAAATAATGCTATAGGCTGATGTTACTTCTATTCAGAATACTGATCCATCCTGCGTAAAAACAGATAAAGCAATAGTGAGTAAGGTCTTTTCTGCATGCTATACATAGGGAATTATTTAGAAGTGAATTGATACTGTGAACACTGTCCTGCATGCAAGCATGGAAAGTTGAGTGTTGTTGACAGAGCAGAATATCTTCTCCTTGGCTATTGCTTGGCAAATAAAGGCCCCTTTTAATTACTACCTCCAGTTTCTATTTATTGCTGTAAGCTGCGTCTTGTGCTGAAATTCTTCTCTTCTTGTCAACTTGAAAAGCAATATGTGAAATCAAGGTTGGCAGAAGTTCTTAGCACTAGGATATATGTCAATAAATAAGATGGGTAGAAGCAGCATGTAGCAGTTGACTGCTATTTTAACTGTATTCTGTAATATTGTAGTGAAACTTTGGTACTTACGCCCCACCCCCCTGAAACTGAAGAAATGTTGAGTTTTAATCTGTAAATGAGCGGGCTGGTAGAGGTTCAGTTTGTCTCATTGAGCAAGGTATATTAGACAGCTCCAAAGTAGATAATGTCACTGTGGGCAAAAAGGATTTAATGCATACAGTGGGCCTGATCTTTCTTGCGTGCAGAGCAATGGCAATGCAGTTAGATCCGTGGAAACAGCAAGCCTACGTGTTATGTTGCCTATATGTGGCCAGGAGATTAAAATTGTTGCACAAATATAAAATTGGGACTTGAAACACTTTGGGGTCCTCTTTATGTGTGTACTCGTTTCCTCTGTGTATTACTGTAACTACAAAGTTCAAAATATGCACTTTGACTATGACAGGTTTGTCAATCATTGGGCTGATGGTGTGCTCTTTTAAAGATCTCTTTTATTATGAGAAAACTATTCTGAGACCTGTAGATTAGGCAGTGTGCACGCTTGAAGCAAAAAAGAAACCTTTAATCTCTGTTAAAACTCTCTGTGCCAAATATAATAGCTGGTTTCAGCAGTATTTAAACCAACTTCATTAGAATATGGGAAGGGGAAACAGGTTCTAAAGGCTCCGTGCTCGCACGTTTTTAGCTGTCAAGGCGAAGCTGTGCAGGCTGTTGGCGGGTGGGCTCGCAGGCAGCATTGAAGGAAAGCAACCCAACATGAGACATAGCTCTGGCTGTTCAGACCAATACACATGTTTTATCTCTTTTCTGGGCTATGCTTACTTTCACAGAAGGCAAGGCTGCAAGATGTAATGTATTTAAATGTATTCTGAATTTGTAATGGTGGCTCTAGTTTTTCCACCAGTTTTACTGTCCTTGCACTGAAAAACAGTTTTGCTTTAACCCGTTATGAAAACTAGTAGTGTTTAACTAATTTTTGTTACGTCGTAGCCTTTATGAGAGAGTCTTTGTTCTTGTCAGATGAAAGATTGATGTGGCTGTATGAACCAGAGCACATACTAGAGGTGCATCTAGCATGCTGGACCAATCGCTTGCTTATTAATATTCATGAGCCATCTCATTTAGCAGATGCTCTTGGGACTTGATTAAAGTAAGCGACACTGCTATTGGTGCTTTAGCTGTAGAGAGCTTTATCTAAGACAGAGCTGGTGTTATCTTTGTTGTCGAGGCTGGCTCTGACTACCTGCAGCATTTTACAGGACATCTGTACAGTGTTTCTGCATAGCTTTTCTCAAGTCAAACTGCCATGATAGAGAGAATAAACTTGAAATCACCTTTGTAAAGCATTATTGCTCACTCTTGTAATGAGTCCTTTCTGTTTGTTCCCAAAGGTCCGGAGGAAGAAATGACCATGTAGATTCTACAGCTTGGGTGCCGCAAAATGGGAAATGGTGAATGGAGTGGAGCTGGTCTGCAGCCTTGAAAGCAGCCGTTCTACGGACCACTAGTCAGTCAGGGACACCTTGCACACCAGAGGCATTCTCCACATTGCTCGCTGGACACACACTGGATTCTTTTTAACTTCTTAGGTTGGAATTCAAGATTCCTTTCCTTCAATTTTTAAACCATTTTAAGATTGTATCAACTATAACGAGTGGAGCAATATAATCAGCAACAATGGGTGACATGACAAATAGCGATTTTTATTCCAAGAACCAAAGAAATGAGGCCAACCATGCAGGAGAGTTTGGGTGCACGCTGCAAGAACTGCGCTCCCTCATGGAACTTCGAGGAACAGAAGCAGTAGTAAAAATTAAAGAGACATATGGGGAAACAGAGGGGCTCTGCAGACATCTGAAGACATCACCAACAGAAGGTAAGCATCTTTCTCTTCAGCTGAATCAGGGGGCTTTGCGTAAGTGCTCTCCAGATAGTGAAAGAAAGAGGTTTTGTTTCAAGCCTGAGCACAATTCTCATGGTGCTGCCATTATTCCCAACAATAATACAACAAAAGAAGAGTCTCTGGAGAAAGAAGATAAAAACAGTCTAGCTATAGCCAAAGCTCGCATGAGAATAAAAGAGGTGCTATTTATTCAAGCAGCTAAATGCATTAATTCTTCCTTAAAAGGCAGACAAAAAAATCAGCACCTGTTTTATGGCATTATAAAGAGGCTTTAACATATATGCTCTTGGGGGTAAGATGGTGCAGACTTGTTGCTTCAGAAGAATTTCTAGGTATTTAGACGTCTTGACCATACGAAATGACCTTTTGAGAGACACGTTACATTACTGTGTAGATCAATGTGTAATACATATATTTTGTGGTTACTAATCTTGACTTACTGTATTACCATAGATAGTTTTGCTTAAGTTATCAATGTTTTTATTAGTTGGACTTCTTTTGTATGTATAATTAAACTCCTTAGTTTCTTATGTTTAATAATACCAGTCATAACTTTTCAATATCTGTTCTTCTAAGTGTTTTTAGAGTTCTCTACCTGATCATCAGTCATTAGTCTAGTTTTCAACACTCATCCCAAATATCTCCCCGTAAAACATTGACAATGGTGGGATGTTTCCCTCCCCTCATGCAATTCTCCTGTTCACCAATTCTTTCTCTTTTAGTGCAAGTAAAATTCTATTTAATTCTAAGAGTTCTATTTTTATCACTGTATTTTAACCTCCAAGGAATATTAACACTTTTGGAAATTATACAGTCTTTGAGTCGATAATATTTATCTTGTCTTGTAAAGTTGCCAAGATGTTAATTTTAAGTTATTTTCTTTTTCAAGAAGATAGAAGTGTTGGCTTTATTCCATTCTCTCCTTTTTTAAATTAATCATTTAGTTACTTCCTCTGTTTAAATGCTGGAAAGTCTTGAATTATTGGTGTAATCATAAACATGTCAATTGTAGCGTCACATAGTGTGGTATTATAAATTATACTCGTTGAAGAGTCCCAAAGGAGCAGCTATCAATGCCTAGTCTTCAAGTAAATTCTTCGTGGTCCTACACTTGACCGTATACAGTCTCAGTATTGTTTAAACATTATGAACTATAAAGCTGTGAACAGTACCTTTTCAGCAAATGATTATTAAGCTAATTCTGTATTAAAACGAGCAGCAAACTCCAGTAGTGCTTCAGCATTCGTGTGCAATCTTGGCAAATGGAACATTTTATAACAGATCTCTCCCATTCTCTAGTCTTGCCCAAATATCTGATCCTTCAGACAGGACCTCTTCTACCTGGAGATTGCTCCCAGCAGGAGTGCTGAGGTAGGAAAATGAGACCCTGCCACTTGTCTGGGATTTCCAGATGACCGTCATTCTTTCAGAGAGTGGCCTAATAGCTGTTGCACACGAGAGAATCAACTCTTCGGAGAATATGCAGCGATTATGACATATCCCTGACACATCTGGGGAATTCCAGACAGAAGTGCAGGATCTCTATATTTACATGACAGAATAAATACTGGTTTATAAATATCTCACTAGGGATTCAGCATCTTAAATATCCCTCAGTGGTTTATAGAATGTCAAAGCTGAAGTCTTGGTCTGGGTGAGCCAAGATCACTTCAGTGACTTCAGTAAAGTTTTGCCAACTCATTCTAGCGGTTACCTGGTCAATGTGAACTTCAAAGGAGATGTTAATTACATTATCTGTTCAATTTGTGACATCAGGGAAACTTAATTCCTCATATCGGAACAGAGTGTATGGATCCAACTAGCATGGCATGCTGACTCCAGCAGTAATCTATATCTGATACTTCAGATAAGGTAACTTTCCTCTAAGCCTTACATGCACTTCATCACTTGTGCATTAGAGAAAAACATTTCCAGCTTCAAACGGCAATCAGCATAGGCCTTGGGATCATGAAGACTCTGCTGGGTTTTAATTTTAAATTAGATCACATAATAGGAATTCCCAGTCACACTAAGTTTTCATCTTATTTTTAATTGTTTTGTTTGGAAAAATTGTTTTTGGAGGAAATCTCTCTGAAATATGTCATGTCAAACTCAGAAATTTTCATTTGAGAGAAAGTATCCATAAGAATTCAATAGAAAAACTTTAAAGGCTTATGTCAAATATAAGCATGTGTTTAGACGTAAGTCCCTAGCCATTGCTTTTCTTGTATGCAAACACAGCGAAAAGAGTTAAAATACAGTGAAGAGGATATTCTTGAAGATATGGCTATTCTTAGAGGAAAGAAACATAATAGTTTCTTATATGGAAATGGAATTTTCACACCAAGTAGACATGATTTACAAATAAATTATTGACATATGTGGTGGAGCCTCCCATAAAGTTTTATCTTTTGGTTTGTGCAGCAAATCATGGATTCCCCGTGGAATATCTTTATGAAATCCCATAATTTGCCACTATGCCTGAAAATCACTTTTCCAACCAGCCTGTTTTTTGGTGAAGCAGAGTTAACTGAACTTCCACTATTTTTTATAGTTTGGAGTGCTGCACATTTTACACAGTTTTATGAGGAGTAACAGAATAAGCATTGCTGCAGGGCACTTCTTTCAAGAAACCCAACAAACTCTTGCTGAGCAAGAGTCCTGGGTGAATATGAATGAAAAAGGACAAAGGACTTGACTGTAGAATTTGGTTCTTCCCAGGCTCTTTCAGAATTTATTTTCATAAAGTCTTTGTCATTTTGTGGGGTATGGCTAAGTAGTTACTGGAACAGAGGAAGAAAATGTATCCTGGAAGCAGACACATTATAATTTGGTAAAATGTGGTCTAGCCTGAATTTACTGGCTTGCTCAATATTTAGAAAATAAGAAGTAGCAATTAGCTCAGAGTGTACTCAGCAATTCATTTCCCATGTTAATACTTGATGTACCACCTATGGACTGGTAGAATCAATCACTTATACTAAAAGTGCCTTTTTGAAGCTCTGTTTTAAAGGCCTTGAACTTCTCGAGGTAAGACATTTTATGCGTAACTCAAATGTTATTTATACTGTTGTGAAGATACACTTACCAGTGTTTTCTGAACTCATGTATTAATCAGTGTGGAGGTTTAAAAGTCTGCTGAATGTTGAGTAGAATAATATATGCATGTTGAATGAATTCATAACATTATTATGGATTACAAGGCTTCAGTCTCTTTAAATTTTCTTTGATCGCTTTTCTAACTATAGATGCAGTGTGGATCCCAGCTCTCAGTTATGCCTGAGGGACTTCCTGCATTGAAGTGATTATATTGTAATGAAAAGCTACCATTTAAGCGCTCATAAAAAGAACGTCCCCAAAATCTATGGAAATACTTTATATGAAAAAATATAAATATGTGTCTCCTTGAATTTTCTTTAAAAATATTCTCATTCAGATTAGTTTCACTTTCATTATTCTAGTAATACAGAAAACAAGCAGGATCTAGCTCTCTGTCATCTTGCAGAACAACGCTGAATCCCCCATTGGGCAGAGCTGTGATGACAGTCGTATAATTTTCCATGCAATCGGAGTCTCCGAGGCCCACTCGAGCATTAGTGATACCTTATAAAGGACAGCTGGTAAAACATGATGAGTTAGTTGGATGAATACCAAATGAGACTGGAACCCAGTTCCAATGCTTAACTGTATTTTACCCACAATTTTATGTAGTATGTGCCAATTTACAGTAAGTTTTTCATCTACATTCCCTTCATATTACAAGAATGTTTATTCCTTGTAAGAATACGTTAGTGAACTAACTTCCATGATTTCTTGCTTAAAATACTTGGATGCAGTAATTTCCAATGTGCGTGAAAAGTGAAGCTGTGTATAATGATGCTTCTTTCATTTTTATACAAAGAAAACCTTTTCCCGTGGCGATATCTGTGCGATCAGGCCTGAAACAGCAGCTCCAAAAGATGTTACACATTGGCGATGATGTTTCAGCACTACAGGAGAAGTTTTCCTTTTGGTGTTTAGTAGATACTCGGTAGGCTAAGCTTCTAGAAACGGTCTGGTGGAGTGCGAGAACGTTTCAGATGTGACATTGTTACGTGAGCCGGTGGAACCTGCTTTTAATATGAAAAATGCAAGTTTTGGGGTTTTTTAGCTGTAGTTCTCTTAGGATACTGTAAAAAGGCTTAATGGCAAGAGAAAGTATCAATTAGCAGTTAAATGATAATATTTCTAGTGTAGAAGTTGACTTTTTAATCATTATAACTGCCCTTAGTTAAGACAGATACAAGGTAAGTAACTCTCTCTTTTCAAATGCATGTTTGTTTTATAGGAGATGCGGACTGAGTATCAATTAAGCCAACTGTGTAGGTGTATTTATTTTTCATTATTACAATCTAAAAAGCCTTTTACAATTTTAACTATGAGGTAAAAGATGAAGAAAGACTGAATACAACAAAATTAACCAGTTGCTTTTAGTACTTGCTAGTTTTGGTTCCTCAAGCTTGCTTCTATAAAGATACACCTTTAATAACTTAATATTCTGTTTTGAAGCTAATCTTGCTAGTACATACTGAATTTGTTAGGTGCACCACTATGGTGTTATATGTTGAATGAGCTAGAGATATGTAAAGAATTTAGAAACAGATTGAGAAAGGGATGAGAGCTACTTGATTCAGACAAATATAAGTTTAAAATAGAAATATAAGATAATGGATTGCCAGAGGTTGAAATCTATAAAACTACACTGTCAAAAATAGATTATGAAAGTAAAGAAATTGCTAATAGCATCATTTTAGCTGTTGTTAAAAGAATACACTTAATCATGCATAAACCATCAAATATTATGTGTAAGTTCAAGATTTTCTTAAATTATTTTAAACTCAAGGTTAGGATGAACATTATTCTGCTCATGAAATGTTTTTTTTAAAAGCTGTGTTGTCAGCTCTCCTGAGGTAGATTTTACGAATTTGGTTGTA